CGGGATCTCCCTCTTAGAGTGGACTCTAAAAAGTTGGCCCCCCGTTTCGTGGGCCCATTCCCGATATCTAAAATAATAAATCCTGTGGCTGTCCGTCTGCGTCTTCCTCCTTCCATGAGGATTAATCCTACATTCCATGTGTCCAAGGTCAAACCGGTTAATGAGAGTCCTCTCATGCCTCCTTCCAAACCCCCACCACCCCCCCAGCTCATTGATGGGGCACCTGCATACACCGTCCACCGGCTCATCAAGTCCCGGCGACGGGGTAGGGGAGTGCAATATCTGGTGGACTGGGAGGGTTACGGCCCTGAAGAACGCTCATGGGTCCCCGCTCGAAGCATCCTGGACCCAGATCTCATTAAGGACTTCCACCAGGCTCACCCTGACCAACCGCATGGGACGGCGGGAGCCGCCCCTAGAGGGGGGGGGTTCTGTAACGTAGTTACTCAAGAACCAAGTTTGTTTTTGTTTTCATGATCTAACTCTCCTGTCATTTCAGATCCGGCCCTTCCCTGTCATGCAATTACTCATTCCCCCTCACCTGCTTCTCTCCGCCCATCTCCTCACCTGCTGCTCATTAGCTCATTTGGCCTTCAGTATTTATACCACTCCCTTTTCACTTTGTCCCCTGCCAGATTGTCTTGTGTTGTTCCGTTCCAAGCATTCCAGCGTTCTCTTGTTCTGCCTGCCCGTTTTGACCTCTCGTTTGCCTCCCTGGAATTTGGATACCTGCCTGCCCCTTGTCGGATTTGTTTGCCTCTTCAACTGATCTCCTGGTTTTGACCCCTGCCTGTTTTTGGACTGAGTAAAGTGTTTTTCCCTAACTATTTGCCTGACTGAGTTGTCGTGCTTTTGGGTTCTCTGTTGCCTGGACCAGTGGTCCTGACAAATTTACATGTTTAGAATAGAATAGAATAGAATAGAATAGAAACTTTAATATGTTTATATTTATGGATTTAGCAGACGCTTTCTCCCAAAGAGGATTATGATGCAGATACAACATAACAGATATCCATCCATCCATTGTCCACCGCTTATCCGGGGTCGGGTCGCGGGGGCAGCAGCCGGAGCAGGGAAACCCAGACTTCCCTCTCCCCGGCCACTTCCGCCAGCTCCTCCGGGGGGATCCCGAGGCGTTCCCAGGCCAGCCGGGACACATAGTCCCTCCAGCGGGTCCTGGGTCTTCCTCTGGGCCTTCTCCCGGTGGGACGAGCCCGGAACACCTCCCCAGGAAGGCGACCAGGAGGCATCCTGATCAGATGCCCGAGCCACCTCAACTGGCTCCTCTCCACGTGGAGGAGCAGCGGCTCTACTCCGAGCCCCTCCCGGATGGCCGAGCTTCTCACCCTATCTCTAAGGGAGAGCCCAGCCACCCTGCGGAGGAAACTCATTTCGGCCGCTTGTATCCGCGATCTCGTTCTTTCGGTCACTACCCAAAGTTCGTGGCCATAGACGAGGGTGGGAACGTAGATCGACCGATAAATTGAGAGCTTCGCCTTTAGGCTCAGCTCTCTCTTCATCACGACAGACCGGTACAGCGCCCGCATTACTGCAGACGCCGCACCGATACGCCTATCGATCTCACGCTCCCTACCCCCGTTCGCGAACAGGACCCCGAGATACTTGAACTCCTCCACTTGGGGAAGGACGTCCGCTCCGACTCGGAGGAGGCACTCTACCCTTTTCCATAACAGATATCATCAACCTTACCATTATGTGCATAGATAAAAATGACTACTCACACTCTGTTAGAGGCAACAGTTGTGACAGTGTAGAAACACAGACAAGTACAGAAAGAATAAGACAAAATGTTGTATTTTCTATTCAGCAGCCACAAAAGACATTCAAAATATATCCAAACATTGGAAATATCAACAAGATAGACACACTGAGCATATTAAAACAGAATTAATTTGAATGATAATAAAACTACACACAGTATAAAAATAAATCATAGATAACTATTCATAGGTCTGTGTTTTTTTCTTAATTGCGTGTGAAATGGTTGTTTAAGACCTGCCCAGTTGAAATCATTCAGCCTTGTTGGATTTTATTTGTGTTTTTTTGTGTTCTCATTCATATTAGTGGTGTTCCTTTTGCCTCTTTTATATAGGTACATAAAGCAAGTAGCCAGGTTGTTCCCACAGTGTAGTATCTAAACCTTTTTTGTTGTTGTATTGGCCTAAACTACACTAGTGATAATGAAATGTGTAACCACCTTTGATAGGTCAGTGTGTTTTGCACACAGGAACAAAAGAGCAGATGTACAGCACTCTACCCTTGCTGTTAAACAGACTTGCATCACAATATGAATGGGTGGTCTGTAAACAAAAGATAAACAAAATATCAAATTAATCATCAAGCCTTTTATTGAACCCTTGATTAAAAATCCCCCATGTTTAATTAGAACACCTTTGCTACACTTGTAATGCGTTTGTCACTGGGTAAGTCCCCAGGTATTTATGCTTGGTGGTGCCTGACTCTGGTCTGACAAACATAAAAGGGATGACAAAAGTCGTTTCATGTGCATGAAGAATGTTGTATTTGTACAAAAATACATTAACAATGGAATTGTTATTTTTAGAATGTATGTGCTCAGTCTGTTACTTTGCTTGTCTAGTAATCTGGTTGCGGCTAATGTCTTGCTTCCTAACGCAGTGGAGAAGCTTAGATATATCCAGGATTGGTGCCGGCACAAAAATATCATCAAGTTACCTCACCTGCCATTTTTGTTTGTAAGTGGGTAAAACAGAGAAAATCCTAACTGCTAACTCTTGTGTTTTGACTATGTTTTACAGGCAGCAGCTTGTCTTCGACCCTTTTCCTGAAATGGGGTTATGAAAGGGTGTTGTTACAGATTATACTCTTAAATTGCACAGCATCCCACACATTGGACTTTTAAGACTTGATGTTATATAGATGTTCCATGAATATTTTTCCAAGAACAAAATACAAAAGTGGAAAAATAAATTATATGACTGACGAACCGGTCCTCAATACTATGCTGCATTTTGCATATACAATGCAAATTGTTAGGGTCATGGATGTTGAAACTGACAGTGATCAAACAATGATGTGAAAGTAGATAGAAGATTATTTTCAACTACATCTCACTGCACAGTATATAGTAGGTAGATTTTTCCATGGCTAAAAAGAAGTTGTGCCAGAGGAAAAGCTCTAATTTAAAAAAAAGGACTGTGTTTTGTTCAAGTTTGAAATGATCCTGTATGAATAAATGTATTCAACCAAATGGAACACTTTAGAACAGGTTTAGAAATTGTTAGATCACATGAGTGACATTTTGGGTAGGGACCAGAAGAGCTGGCGGTAGGCTACACTTTATCTGCCCAACCTCTCTCCTGCCTTTAATCTGCATAAAGCCAAGGCTGATAGAGCTGCAGTGTGGCACAGACATGAGGGCAGACAGTCATCTTTCTTCTCCAAAGGTGAGTTTAACGATTTATTCACTTTAGCATCCGCAGCTAATGTGAACCATTAACAAAAAAGATTTTTAGGGGGATTTATGATCAATGCCTACTTGTTCAACATTGAGTTAGCTATTCTTTGTAGAATAATCAAGAATTATAAAGAAATCATACTGAGCAATTATAACCCTACTTAAATATTTTGAATATGACCTTTTGACTGCAGTGATTCCAGATTTTTTTACATTTGATATTTCCTATTAATATCAGTGGCATATGAAAATTATTTTCACTTTAACAGAATGTGTATTTTTAAGCATTTACTCTAAATCACTGTTAAATTTAATATCTAAAGGCTTTAGAATGTATTCTATTCCATTCTATTAAACCATTAATAATTAACCTTTGACATTATCGACCATTAGATTAACTTAGAAAATGCAGTTACTCTCTTTGCATCTTTTAATAACATTCTAAATCTAAACTAAACAGCAAGCATGCATGAATGACTATCTCTTGGAGTAAGGGTCTGTTTATGTTTGTATCATTGTTATTTTATTAGAGAAAAAGCCATTCTACTATTATGAAACTTTCAAACCCTGAATGTAGATAATGTATATCCACGTTTTTTTTTTCAAGATAAGTCTTAAAATTTGATTGTGTTGTACATAGAGCTCATTTGTAAGTTCTGAACATTTTCTTCTCTAATGTTCATTTTGTAGTATCAATGATCAAGTACGACATGCTAATCTTTACATCTGTTCATGCAACTCTTCCAGTGCCGGCTTTAGATTCAGTTCTGTCCTGTTCAAGTGAATTACGATACTATAAAAGCCAGATTGACTATAAAAAAAACAACAGGAATGGGGGAAAAAACAAATTTTCCCTTCCACTTCCAGTCATGACAGCATTGTTGCTATTGAATTAATTAAATGACATTTTACCTCAACAGGGACATCTGCTCCCTCCTCACTCGACTGTCAGTAAAAAAAACTGTCAGTCTTCGATGGTACAAGCAAACACTGTATATAAGACAAATGCTTACAAATCCTAAGTACGAAAGAGTGGATTTTTTGTTTACACAATCTCAAATTCCAAACACCTCTAATGCATCTTGAAATGTGGTCGTTGTGACGAGTTCCCGTCAAAAAGCCCTGATGATAGCTGACTTGAGGGGAACAACATATTTTTAAAAAAAACTATTAATATATGACATGAATGTCTTGGCAGCTTTTCGTCAAAGTTTACAAAGACGTTCCCAAAGTAATTATATTTTTTTATTCAGGTTATTATGTGAAAAGACCACCTCCCACACAGCAGGCTAAGAGATAGTGTTCGACAGAAGCGTAAGATAAAAAAATAATAAAATAAATGTTCTAAATAAATACTCAAATTTTGGAGAATAGCTAATAACAACTGGCCATAGTGCCATAATACTTCACAAACATCTACGTGGTCCGTCCATTTTTTTCACAGTTGATCTAATAGAGATGATTGTAAGGATTATAGCATGATACAGACCAAAACATATAATTTCCAAATGTATCTGCATGTTTTTACAGGTTTTATCATACCATGGATAATAGCAGCCTAGGATTCCTTGAAGATGCTAACTCCTCCCTACAGATTGGACTTCAGTCATGCACTTTCTTCAGGAACCAGGTCTCCCGTATCTTCCTTTATGCCTCACTGTCAGTTGGCATCTTCTGTACAGTGGTTGGCAACTTCCTGGTTGTTATGTCAATCGGCTACTTCAAGCAGCTGCAGTCCCCGACAAACTCCTTTGTCATGTCCCTTGCAGTAGCCGATTGTCTTGTTGGCCTGGTAGTGATGCCTTACAGTATGATCCGTACTGTGGAGGGATGCTGGTATTTCGGTACCCTCTTCTGTAAGCTTCATTCTAGCCTTGATGTCATGCTTTGCACTGCCTCCATATTCCATCTCAGCTGCATAGCCTTTGACCGTTATTACGCAGTCTGCAACCCACTTGTTTACTCCCTCAAGATGTCCCAACATCGTGTAGCTCTTCTCATTGCCATTTGTTGGGCTGTTCCAATGCTAATTTCCTTCGGCCCCATTATGCTAGATCTTCACATTACTGGGGTAGACGTGTCAATTCCTGAAGATGCATGTGTATTCCTTGTCAGTCGCTTATATGCTGTCATGGCTTCCTTGGTTGCTTTTTACCTGCCAATGGCTATCATGCTAGTGGCATACTGGAAGATCTTCAAAGCAGCGAAACGGCAGGCCAAGCAGATCAGCGCCATGGAAAGCCAGATGGCCGCTGGAGTGGGCAAAGACTCAAGCAAGAAAAAGAAACACCGTAATACCATGAAGAGAGAAAGAAAAGCAGCAAAAACTTTAGGCATCATCATGGGAGTTTTCCTCATCTTCTGGATGCCTTTCTTTACAGTCAACATTGTGGACCCTTTTATCGAGTACAGCACAGAGGTTGTGATCTGGGATGTGTTTCTTTGGTTAGGATATATCAACTCATCTTTAAATCCCTTCCTGTATGGTTGTTTCAATCGCTCCTTCCGTAGGGCATTCTTCATGTTTATGGGCTGCAGGGTATGCCTTCCTGGAATGTCTCCAGGCATGGACTTATCACAGACAAGGAAAGAAGCAAATGAATGTACAGATCAACCATAAAAGGATTATGTCATCTATACAACAAGTGTCACTGTTAAAAAGCTCCACTGACCAGATGCTTTTAGTTGGTGACTGTACATAATCTTCCAGGAAAGAAGAAATAACTTGGAAAAATTAGAACATAAATAAGGTCAGACTTCAAACAACCTTGCCTTCAACCATGATTCATGAAATCACCACTTTTCCTTACACAAGCATGCTCTGTTGCACAGGAATTATATAATAATTTGTTTTGATTTTATTATTTGATTTGATTTATAACAGCTTTCACCTATTAAACAGAATAACTTTTTGTCAATATCTGCAAGTGCATAACACTGTAAAAAAAAACTCCATATAGTCCACTTAAGTGTGTAAGACTTTAAGACCACTTCGTAAATGTCTTTCTCAAAAGAGAATCTATGGAAGAAACAACACAATCTAATGTCCTTTTTAAATGTTGACAATGTTGACAGCTTACAGTAAGGTGAAAGAATATCTCTTTTCTGGAATGTAATACAAGTAAGATATTTTCATGGGGGAAAAAAGATCTGTGAAATACTTTAGAATGGTCAAATTGTTTGTGGATGCTCTCAGTAGTTTTGTATGTCATTCATGTTGTTCACCCAAGCCACTAAACTAATTGACGTAGAAAAGTAGTTCATTGATATGGAGCATTTACAATGAAGCTCCTGTTGAGAAAATCTTATAAATGCCCATACCAAGGCTGAGTCCAAGATTTCCAAGACTCTGGCCCTGAATCCAATAAAAATTCAATGCAGCTGATTATATTCGAATGCAAATAATTTAACTTTATTATAGATGTAAGCATATTCAAAGCAAAATAGAAATAAAAGAGGACAAAAAAGATGCCAAAGCAAACATAAAAACATTTGACCTGGAATGGGATGAGAGAGGTGCCGTGGTATACATACATGTAGAAGAAAAATACAAAGGGGGTCATACAAGGAGGCACCCCACCAGTCTAGGGACATTACATTACTGAACGTTACTAATGCATTTTTAACTCATAGAAAAGACATGACAATATCTGCTTCCCACATCCACAATGGAGGTTGATTGCACAAGAGAAACGTTAAATAACTGAAGGCTCTGTCTCCTTTTTTAGTTTTACTTCATCATTCTGAGATAAGATATTCCTGAATTTGGCAAATGGGCATTAAGGGGATTGTAAAAACCTCTGTTGTAAATGAGTTTCAGAATAGATATTGGACAAAACAACTCAATGGCTCCACATTGTAGGGCAGGAAAACAAGGTAGTGTCATCTTGTATAACTACATAACTTAAATTGCCTTGCAGAGAGACTGAAAATAACTCAAGTCTTGTCTAAATTAAGGAAAAAATTAATTGTTCCACATACAAAATTGGCCATTCAAGGGCTAAGAGGCATCACAGAAATCGTTATCAGGTTTTGCTGATATAGTGCTTTGTACTCTATGCCATGTTTCTGCCTGGTTGTGTCCCTTTGGTGGCGTCTGAGTCGTAGGTTGAGCGTCGCAAGCTGCAGAGCTTTCCTGGACAGATTCTGGCTGCTCCCTACCGCAACACCTGCAGGACCTCTTCCGGAACCCTTCTTAAGGATTTGCAGGAGTGGCCAATCTTCAACAGATTGTGTTTTTCCCCCATGTGGTTATCCGGTCACCTCTAAGACAATTCTGCAATGTGTTTAAGGGACTTATTGTTTTCCTCTCCTTGTTCTGGTGAACAGTCTTTTAGACAACCTGCCTCAGTAATCTACCGGACTGCTCATCCTCCAATGGCTTGAGCTCCATTCATCACAACTAATCCTGCCTGTCAATGTAATTGGGATGAAATACTGTTTCTGATCATTCTGGATCATTCCCTGGATTCATAAAAAGTCAAACAAGTATTACCTTACTTAATTTTTTACTAATACCTCATATGTTCTGTCAGAATCTAACGTATGCAACTCTGTTCTATTACTTACAATAAACGCTTTTTTATTCCTTAGTTACTCTTGAACTATATTAAATTCCTATCTTCCTTTTCTGAAAACTGCATTATCCAGAAGGTGGACTTATTCATCAGTTTACACTTAAATACACTATGTAAGTTACAGTAGCGGTAAAAGGTTGCAAAGGGAATAAGGGTCTGATACTAACATGTGAACAAGGAGGTGCAGAGGAATATTGTCCAAACATTCAAACTAGATTGCTATTTTAACCCTTTCATGCATGAATGCCTTTTCATGCATTTTAGTCAGGATTTTATATCTATTTTATTAAGGCATAAAAAAGGTATAATCTTTTTTTTTGTGAAATGTTTATTCAAGGAGTTTTCCAGATGTCCACTAAGGTAGACAGCAAACATTGTAAGATTTCTTAATAATGAAATGTGTGTATTTTACAATGTGTGGACATTTGTTGACATTTGTTAATAGACACCTTAGAACAAAAGATACACGGGGGCAAAAAGATCTGGGTGAAACCAATATTAGTTCACCCATTTATTATAGATTGTTTTCCCCTAATTTTGGAAAGTAGATGGATAAGCTTACTTTAAACAAGTATTTAATTTAGGGAAACCAATAACCACATCTGCAAACAGTCAAAATGAGGAAAAGCAAGCCTGATTTGTGTTTTTAGTACGTTATGAAATTAATATCATTCCATCCCACATCAATCCTTGGGATTCCTAGATCTGAACCCTCTGCTTTGCCAGAGTGACTTAGTAAACTACAATCTGCATATTCATGGGAAATGAGCTGCAGTGAGTTTATTCATCCTGAGCCATAGTCTGTCGTTTCTTCATTATATAACAGGATCAAAGCTGTCAGTTCATAATTAGGTGATCAACAGGTGCTGCTGTAACATGAGCTGCAAAACAGTTTTTATAATGTTGTATGAATATTTCAGAATTGCTTTATTTCTAAGTAATTGGGGAGTCAGTTATCAAAGGTTTATGTGTGCTTCAATTGAGTAGTGGCCTTTTTTATTTTTACTCCTTCACTCAAATGTTTCAGAAATGTAATAGAAGGTCCATAGAAAAGTCCAGCAGTAAAATGTCTTTCCATTTCTGCCTTGATGTCAGATGTTTAAATTTATTTTATTGGGACTTCATATTTAGAGTTTTACAGTTTTCTTTCTCATAGTGCGAATGTGATTTTTTAAAAACAATTTTTATCCTGAAATTTCCAAAGTACAGGTCTTATCACTTGCCAGGGCAAAAGAGATTTAAGTACGGTAATTATTTTGTTAAAATCCATTAGTCTACATAAAATATCTTCTTTTTGATAACTTGTCTAATTCTGCCCATTATCACAGAAAACACAAGTGATAGGGAGATGTGCTCACATATTCAAAATAAATTTCAGGTATAACACTTGTGAAATGTTGTAAATGTTGATGACATGTTGTTTTGCACATTGCAGACTGAAAAGGAAAAGATGCCAACTGTGACATTATAACATTTATCTTAAATAAGAGTAATCTATTTCCTACCCCAGCTCTCTTTTGACTATTTGCTTGACCCCTGACATGTTCAAGTGATGATAAACTCGTTGATAGGAATGTTTTTGGACACTACTGGGTCAACTGTTTCACATTCAGGAATGAGTTGTTCTTTGCTAAATTTCTTGTTTCTGTGAAACTTCGTTTAATCGTTTAATTGTCAGGCAACAGATTTGATTGTTGTTGTTTTTTGTTGACCTATAACATATTAACACACATACATACAACTCAACATTTGCACTAGTATATCAACCATTCAGAGGTATGGCTATAACTTGAAGGTGCAGAGGTAAAAATAAAAAAGTCAATACAATACTGACATCTTCTGGATGAATCCGAAATAGGTAGCAGTGCCTGTTATAGTCACATAACAAAACAATTTTTTCTTTAGTTTTTATTTTGCTTTCCATCAGACATAAACATAGCATGAGAAAATACACAAAAAAAGCACACTCATTTCACATTAGCATTCACGTGGTGTTGCAAATTACACTTAGTGTACACATCATACCAGGCTGTCTCACATACCCAAGACAATAAATACTGTGCAACAACTTAAGTCTTGCGGGCTGCTTATTTTATGTCTCAACAGGAAGAAAGGAAGATACAAAAAGGTGGAGCATGAATGCCTATAATCTTTTTACCTTTTGACTCAGTCCAAACTTATTCAGTACAGTTTTCTGTACTTGCCTCATTGCAGTTCAATGTTTCTTTCTTTCTTTTAACTTGTTAAACGTTTAAATCAGCAACTTTTCATCAGCCAATGTCATCTGCTTCATAGTTAAAGACAGGGAAAACTGTTTATATAAAAAATTCAACAAAATGAAAGATTACGGTAACAATGATTTTCCTGCTTTCTAATGAGGAAGCATGGCACCCTAAAATAACAGCAACAAATCCAAAAAGCTTGCAAATCTTGTGTTCACTTCCAACGTAAGAATTTAAGCTGTTCACAAGACATTTTTATTTAAATAAACATTGTGGTCACAAGGTTTCTGACAAGGTTTCAGTCTTTTTTTCTTTTTTCTTTTTGTGCTGGAGTCATTGTTGTCAGCTTTGATTCTCTGTTTTCCTAATTTGATGTCCTTTCATAGTCTTTCTTGCATGTTGGTCCTGTATGGCCCTTTCAAAATAAGGAAAAATGCTCTCCAGGGGCCCTACTAAATGTCAGTCTCTTTCAGACCATAACACTCTGCCAGATCATAGAACTGATAACTGTTCTGCTCACATGAGTTGCAAAGTCCCATAGAGATTGTATCTACAGTATCAGAGTGACTCACTGACACAGGGGTGCTTTTTCCTGCGCCTCCCTTGATCTTATTTGAAAGATTGTTCACTTTTTCTCTGACATGGAAGGAGGACTTCTGTAATGGTGGGAAAAACCTCCATCTCTTTAAACCAGTCGAGCATCCTTTGCTCTTGTGCAACCAAGAGCTGCCCCAGGACTCGTGCACAGCGTAGCCAGGCGTATAGTGCCCTCTTTGCTCCATTGCCCTTTCCTTCACAGCTGTCCTCCACCTCTGGTCGTAGAAGCGACGCAAGACCCTCTGTTTTTGGTGGCACTGACACTTTAGGAGCCGAGTGAAGGCCCGCTGAAACTCCTTGCTGGAGCAGGGGTATATCATTGGATTGATGCAGCTGTTGAAATATCCCAGCCAAAATACCACCTTGAACACAGTTTCGGACGGTTTCAGTTCTGGAAAGAAGGAACCTAAGGGGAGACAGAGGTTTCAAAATCAGGAACAGAAACATCTTTTTGCACTGTAAATCTTTTTCCCTAAACCTGCATTACATATGATAAAATTGTTCTTGGCAGCTGGAAGCTGTATGTCACTGTGTTGATGTGCACTTTAAATAAATTGAAACATATTTGTCAAAAGCAACAAATTAGAAAAATAAAAAGTGAGCTCATCCAGTAATTTGACAGGCAAGAAAAGGATTCAGCTTTAACCCAATCTTCTTCTGTATATTTTACTGACAGTGCCGTTTTCCTGCGGTACTTGTATCTTTATACATAGTATTTTTGGCAAGAGACACTATTACATGCTGCATTTCGTGGAATGTTGCCTTTTCCCACTCTTTGCTAGTTGTTTTTGTCTCCACAGTCTTTGGACTGGACCCCCAGACACAGACACAGCATAGCAAAGCGGCAATGTAAAGTCTGCAGTGCCTTGGCCCACAAGTAATTTTTTCATTTCAGTTTTCTTTGCAAAATGGGGACACAAATGAGATGGTGAGCACATGATTTTAAAGCAGTTGCTTCATGCTGTTTTGATATCATCTTGCAAAAACATAATGTGTTTTATGAAATGCAAGCCTGAGGATTGTGCCAGTGGCTCATAAAACAAAGCCCCAAGACTTGTTTATAATGCTTTCTGCGATTGAGCAGCATCTCAAGTGTAGCATTTGCCCCTCATGGATCCATGTCTAATTTTACGCAACTTGCATTTATATCAAGATTAAGAAACTCATTAAAGGAAACAATGTTCACCACTAAATCATCTGACTACATTGACACCACCTGAAAGGCAGATATCATATGATATATCTCGCTGATGCTCAGCCAGTATCATGACAGCATCGGGTTCTTTTTATCTGTAATTTTTCGTCCTTTTTTTTCTTTTGGCTTTCAGATGTATTATGAATATTTTTGGTCTTTCTTTTAGGTATGTAGATTGTTTCTTTTTTGTTTTTTTAAAGTTAAGATTTTTTTATCTTATCCTTTTTGGGTTCTTATTTTTTAAGCTTCACACAAACTATTGAACAAAATGCAAATGCTTTGAATCCACATTGAGCCTTTATCAGATGTCTTGGGAACTGTCAAGTCTCTCAAAGGCTTCATTGTGGTGACTCTTTTGTTTGAGAACATGGAACACCTCTCTTTTAAAGAGCTGTCTGTGAAAGTTTTATCTCCTTGACATTTGGAAGTGAACGTCAGTATTTCATTTTTGGCTTTTTAAAAGTCACCCTCTTACCTATTATGATCTTTTAGATCAGTGAATGAATACTAACCCCACATATGCCATGCTGACCAGCCATGAAACAGCATCAGCTGCAGTGGTACCTGATTTACTGGAAGCTGTAAAGCTAACACCATGTTTGAATATGGGACTGGTCTAATGCTCCTGATATCTATTATTTTCCAGGACGTACGCAGCTGAAATTTGATCTCTCCTTA